TATCCTCACCACCTTCTATATTTAACATGTCCAGAAAGTAATATTTGGATATTTGGACGGCCCGTAATGATGTTTTGAATCTATAAATAGTCGACATCGATCAATCCCTGAAGGATACGCCATGCATTTGACTTCATCAAACGTCACTGCCGGTGATTCGGATGCATATTCGGTTTTAACAATCATTCGAGGTGACCTACCGGTTTATCAGGTCAACCAACGGAGATAAGTCTGGTAAAAATCTCCATATGGGAAGGATAGACAACTTTGTGAGCCTTGACAGCAGAGTCGAACTAACAACCACTTGTGTGTCGGAACGCACCTCTAACCACTGCGCCTGTACGCGCCCTTTCATGGTATTATGTATCAACTTTACTGCATACGTGGTCGATGATAATAATGAAGTGTTGCCGTTTCGAACAGAATTTTCCAGCGTAATGTAAGTTTAATGAGCGGAATAAAATATTGAAATATACATACTCTCGGTGGTGTATGGTAGCATGCACTTCCCGGTATGGGTGCAGTACGGGTTCAACTGCCACCTAAGGTTCAGAGTTTTGCATAACATTGCCACCTAATTGAAGTTTATTCAAATGGTTGTTAAAGTGTGCTTCCTCAGATGCTTTGGAATTTTTTGATTTTTTCCTTCTCTTGAAGATTTGACCTCATGCAACCTTGAAGCAGGTTCTAGAAGTCTGACGAGCCGACTAGGTATCACCCATGTAATGTACCAAATAGTTCACTATTCTTCTCGTTGAGCAGGTTCAAGGATGTTAAGCGATATAATTCTATGGTCTTCAATGCTCATTGAATCTTTTGGCTGTCTGCTCATCAAGAAGTAGTAAATTCAAAGACCAATCTGGAGAGCGATATCGTGAAGTTTATTCTAAGTTTCTATCATATCCCTTGGCCTCTAAACACTGTGATAAAAAACTACGAAATAGATATTTACAAAGAAATCAGGAAAATTTAGCAGTTATTCCTAAGTACGGCTTCAATGTGAGCATGGATGAATATGATAAGAAAGAATCCAAGGTAGTCTCATGAGTCAGCTGCTCCGAAAACATCACATAAGGAATTCTCTTGAGAGATTTTTAGATTGTGTAGTTTTTTAAGAGTTGAATCGATCGTCTACGTGTGAACCATGAGTGCCTTCTCTAAAAAAGTAGAAAATGTATATGTAGTCTGGTGGTGTTATCTAATGTTCCTTTGATACTTTTTTGTTATCGGAAAAGATTTTCGAATTGATCTTTTTCTGTTGAATAAACTTTCATTAACGTTAAAGTTTTAGCAATCATTCGAAAGCTTAAGTCTCGGAGAATTTATGAATGTACTTTTTTTTTTTGAAAAGCCCTTTCAACGCCCTAACACTGGAAATAAATCATGTTTCGCACACGTCGCGTGTTATCATGCGCATTTCTCACAGAACAGAGTCCTTTTCCTGTACTAGCATAAATCTTGGGAATTTCAAAAGGGTACTTTTTTTGAGAAGACCTTCTAGCAATGCTGTAGCAGAGAGGATGAAATTCTGTTTCACACGCGCCGCGGGTTATCACGCTTATCCTCGTGATTTACTTGGAAATTTTCTTTACGTTTCGTAGAGATTCTAGGTTTTTTGTATTGTGACTGTAAACAAATTTCGTTCTATCGTTCTGTGGATCAGGCGTTTCATTTTCATTTTTATATTGCCAAACAAAACGCGCTTCATAAGCTCAACACTTCGAGAACCAGCGTTTATAGGCTGGTGGCGTTGTGCCGTCGCTTGCGTGACAGTCCCACGAGGCGTCATATGCATGCTGTACATGCATGTCTGGCTGTCTGCGCCTACTTTCCCACAAGGCACAGACGCCGCCATAACATTAGCTCAGTGAAGAGTTGACGTCGCGCGCCACAATACGAAGCGTAACCCTTTGCTCCTCAAAGAGTCAAGCCTAAGCAATCCAAAGCTATACACGAAGAGCACATGAACGTGTAGAAAAATCTTAGAGTATGAAAGTCAAACGTTTTATCTGGAGTTTTCTCAAAGTGGAAAAAATATGTGGGTTTAATGACAAAAATCGCGTGGTATATGTGAATCGCCCGATCGATACCCGGCTCCGTACACATCCTAGCCGGCAAGCACTACGCGTCGTATCTAAAACTCAATCTTATTTTCTCTGCTGCAGTGCAGTAAAAGAGTCTTTTTGAAACAAGCACACTTTTGAAATTGCTGAATTTACGCTATCGAATGATTACTAACAGTCTTGAAGAAAAACTCTGTCCACCGAATAATACGCGCTTATCGTGTTTAGATGCAATTTTGTTCCAGCGGTGTAAAAACTTCTCAAAGAAAGCAAATATATTTCTGAATTTCCTTTGATTTGAGCTTTTGAATGTTCGTGTACTGAAAATCCAATGGAACGTCTTTGTCTAGAAAAACTGCCCCTTCACAAATTTCTTTACGATAACAGGAAAGAATCCTTCTTTTCTTGTTGGAAGTTATTTTGTGTTTGGTCTTGATATGTTGAACTGCAATTTTCTATCTCATTTGCGTCTGTTGTGTTGTAGATCAAGTTTAATGCGATGTGTTGTGGTGAATGCTGGATCCATTGTGATGTTTCTCACAATTCTTGGATACTTCTACCTACATCGTGATGAGGATTCTGGAAGTTGGAGTCAAACGTTGTTCTAGACGTATATGATGTTTGTGCTTCAAGTGTAATAGAGAATTTCTAGAACTCCAAGATACATAGTAAGTATGTTATGATGATAATACAATGGAAAAACGAAATGATCGTGCACGTAAGCGAGATTGATGCGATGTGTAGATGTAATTTATGCATGAGAATCTCTGTAGACCATTTTGCATGTTTATTTGTGCTTTATAGCTGTCTATCTACTATGACTTCCGACTTCTAGGAACGTGCTCAGAAAGACTTTTGCTCTGGTAGCGTGTTCTTTTTCTCCTTAGTTCAATTGCTCTTGCGCTCTGCAGATTGAAATAATTGAAAAGTGCATGAAAAAGAATGCATAACCCTTCAAAATGTTGCTAAGCAGCTGAATTTTGCCTTATATCAATCAAAGTTCCACTAAATACGCGCTTTCAGACGTTATAAAACATTTAGAGAACCCATAAACTTTAGGATGAAAAATGTTTTGTTTGCCTAATAGTGGCGCTCAGAAATTTTTAGGCTCTTATTGAAAGGTTTGGTACTATTTTTCATAAGTGTATGTAGAAGAGTTAGTGATATTACCAGCGTTGCTTATTTCCACTCTATACAGTAGTAATCCTGATTCAAAATTGTTCTCAAAGCTTTCCAATACATTTTTATATGAGAATACTGGTTCATTAAATGACCGTCGTTTTCAGATCGCCGGGTCATCACTGGTGTTGATATATATGGCGAATATTATAAATTTTGGTTCACTTTTGGCCTATTTCAAACTTTTCAACAGTGAAGATATGAATGAATTGTCATTGTGGTAGTAGTACTGTCAAATCCGTCGGCTTACTTCTGTCATTTTCTTAAATAGATTGGACACTGCAATGATTTGGTATATTTTGATCTGCATAATCCTATTCTTCATGTATGATTTCTCTTGTCCACACTGCTTTGTCACATTATGCCATATTTCGCTAGTTCATTTGTAAATTAATGATAAATAAGTATCTGTGCGTCCCTTTGCACTTATGAGATCTTTTAATGAAATTTAATCAACCTTTTTTTAAAGACGCTTAGGACAAGTGACTTAAATCAGTTAATTGTCACAGTCATGGTAACACGCCTATGATGGGGATTAGGCGCAAGGAAAAGTGGATTGACTTCAATAAATTTCTTTTCTATCACTGTTTCTGGCATTCAAAGTATCTCTTCTTCCACCGCTTTTGTGTCATATATCTTTTTTACTTGGTACAGTTGTTATTCTTGCTGGAAGTGCTGAAGACAGATACGACACATTTGACTCGTGTGTAACACTCTACTTCTATGGGGATCGTGCGTATTTTGGACGTTGCGCCCTGGATTTTCCGACTTCAAGGGAGGAAGCAATTGATTGTCCACAAGGCAGTGACCAAGTAGTTAGATGCTGGTTATGAGAAAACACAGGTGATGGTTCGACGCCATCCCCGAATGCGCAATTCCAAGTCCCTGGGAATGCATCAGCTCGGCTGTCTTGAAGTTTACGAGGGGATTTGACTTGACCAATATTCTTCGTCGTTCGTGAAGAAATCTAAATCCTCGGGCGGAGTTGAAACAATCCGCTAAATATCGAAGTACTTGTGATGACGAATTGGGGGAACGCAAGCTAGAAACACGAGGATCCACGCGGTAAAAAAAGTTAAAATAGGTTATGTAAAAGAAGAAAAATATTTTCTATCACTCACAGTACAGTACCATGCAGTGTGCAGCACAACCAACACGGTGATACCCTCGAGAAACCAAATCGCCTATCTTTTACCGATTACTGATTACTGAATAAGTACTGATTTCTATGCATATTCGAATTCAAACGATCAGATTTGCCGCTGGTCATGTTTGCGTCAATGTGTTAACAATGTGCGAGAACTGTTATCCGTATGACTCTGTTTTTCAATCAAAGCTCGCTACTGAATGAGGGCTTATTGATTTATTGCTGATGAATTTGCTGATGAGAATGTTACAAATGACGAATGCTCAGAATTTTTTTACAGCCGCAAATACAGACAATAATATCCGTGGCGACGAATTAGCCATTAAGTCGACCGGGTTGTACATTACACACCGTTAACCCGGTCTGAACGGCATTTAATCGGTCGCGCAACGCGATTCGCAAAGGTCTCGCGACTTTTACTGAATTAGGTTTCGTTTGTCTGTGCTGAGAACAACTTCAGGTCTTTGGTGTTATTCTAATACTCCATAATTTCCTCTACACGCTCATACGCTTTGACCCAACTGCCGATAGCGGCTGCTCCGCCAGACCGTCGACAGTTGGCTGTTGACAGATAACGCATTGTGGAGTAGAAAGAGTGTTGTGCAAAACGACCGTCGGTAGTACAACGTTTCAGCATGCGCTCTCGGAAAGGGTAAGATCTGGGTTTGAATCCCGGCTGACGCAACTGTTTTTGCACAGCACTCCACTATTGGGTAAGGGAGTGTCCAATGGAGTTTATCAATGAAGAAGTATAGGACGGAATAGATTGCCATTTTAGTGCTTATTAGTGTTAGCTGTACATCTTATAGAAATAACGGAGGTATCTTACGTTTCAACTGCTAGTATTTTGGGGATTGGTATTTCTCGGAATCTGATTGCTTTGGATGCCTGATAGTTATTTTTCAGAGATGCGTGAGGTCTGTTAATTAGCTATTATACAGTGTAAAACACGTGTTTCGACCTTTCAGCCTCGTCAATTGAACGATGTCTTTCGGTTCAGGCAGTTCTGCTGGGAGATATTCCTTGCTAAAAGGAACCGAAACCGTAATACTTACACGCGCCGTCAAGTGATAAAATCGCCGGACGGGCATTGTTGTACTTTGATTGCTCTTGCTCGTAATCGTGAAATATCATAAAATTCATTACCAGGCATATTAAAATTCGAGCGAGGTCTCAAGAAACACTTGAAAGAAGAGGTATGATATTTCACGATTACCAGCCAAGAGCAATCCAGGATACAACACAGCCTGTTCGGTGATTTTGTCACGCGGCGCGTGTAAGTATCACGGCAAGCACCATGCAATTGGCGAGGCTGAAAAGGCGAAACCGTGTCTTGCACTGTATAAATGCCAATAATAGACCTCATGGCATGGCTCAAAAATATCTGTCAGGCATATTGAAGTTTGAGCGAGGTCTCAAGAATTACCTGAAACGAAAGATATGATTGTTTTATGTTGTGGGACTGCTTCTGACACAACTGAAAATATCTAAAACTTTATTACAGGCAACAACGAAGAATATAATGGAACATGAGAGGTCTGGACAATAGATTTTATATGTAAAAACAGCAAGTACTATACATACCATCGGAAAAACGTCAGTGATTTACTTTTGCTAATGTTGTGCTCATAGGAACTCTCTCGCTTCTTAAGGTGTTGTTGTTCATGTAATTTTAAGAAATGACATTGACAAATCAAATCACGAACACAAGTCGCTTAGAACCTTTGGCCAGGATCTGGATAATAAACAGGTGGAGGTGCAGGTGCCTCTGAATAATATATAGGTGCCGGTGGAGGTTGAACTGGCTGATACATGGGAATCATTTGTGGTGGTGATACTACCTGCACCTAAAGCAAACAATGGCCTCAAAATAAGATGAAGAAACTAGGTTTTCACAAACGATAAGATAAGTACTTCAACAGAAGCTGAGTAAATTGATTCAAACAAGAGTTTTCATCATTTCGTGTTAGCTTGCTCGATCTCATGTGGTTATGATGAAGATTTGATATTCTTATCTCTTTTTTTCAACTAAATCTTCATTGGAAAACCAGCAGCACTTTTTTCCGTACAAGAAATTTTATGCTCATCTTCAACATATGCTTTTTCGCTTTTTTAAACTGCTGGAAGAACTGATGAGAATGTAAAAATATAGGGTGTTATGTCCTACAGTCTACTTGAAAGTCATATCTCACTAGTTCTTCAGATGGCCTCTGAATACCAGCTACCATAGCTTCCTTTATTTATTATATTTCATCAAAATTTCAACTTGCTGTGAGATGCTGAAAAGGCAAAGAGAACATCTTTGGAAAATTTATCTCATCGACTGCTTTCCAACCACGCTATAAACATTTAATATAGTTTGTAAGAATGATCAGAGCCTTACCGAGGTTGATACGTCAGTGCCATGCTTACGTCTCGGAGGTGTCACCCTTTTCGTCAGTGGCGCACACCCACACTGAGCCCTACTTTATAGCAGCGATGGGAGGAAGTTGTTCATGGTGAAAGGACATGATATGTTATCACTATTTTTTTCGTTGATGAGTCATAAACGTCTCACCATCCATGCTATAAACTAGGGATCAGTGTGGGGCATGAGCCACTGGCGAAGAGGGCAAAATCTGCGAAACGTACGTATGGCTCTGGCGTGTGAACTTCGGTAAGGCCTTAGATATTCTCACACACTTTATTGAACATTTCAAAAAATTTAGTTTTAAAGACCAACACCAGCTGTGATGTTGACTGATCGATCAACATCTAGCTAAGATATTCACAATATGCACTCTCGCATAATAACTTTCTAGCCAATTGCTTAAAAAAAAGTTCACCAATTTGTTTACGTCCCACTCACTTTCTTTTTTTACTCAATCAAATAATCAGTTTGCCAACTATTAATCTACTGCAGACAGACATTCAGTACTTGCAAAAAGTTAATTTATATGGGTTATTCTACGAGGACCGAAAGTATAGCTGTTTTTTGCTTCCCAGTAAACCTCTCAAACCACTAAATATTAGTATAAGAAATAGCGTTTATTCACACTGAGCGCTACTTTATAGCAGGGATTTGATGTTCACTATACACGGCTCATCATCACAAATTACGCTCGGATCTCAGCACTTATTGCTTCGATTCGATTCTTTACATTCATCCTCCTTGAAGATCTCTAAACATTTCATTCGCCGCTTTGGTTTCTTCCTCAAGACTATGGCTTCTTCACAAATGTCGTAGAATGCTGGTCGGGACAATTTTCTTTACAATCTTGAGGGCAACTGAGCTAAGGCATTCGTTGATTGACTGAGTGTTGGGAGAAGGAATCAAATCAGCACTTTGCTTATGGCTTTGTTTCCAAATACACCGTGTCACTGACCACTGTGTCACCCGGATTTCCTGGTAGCATTTCAAAGGTGCTGATTTGTTGTACGACGAGCTGTGAGCGTGTACGATCACTTAACGAGCCAAGGATTGAATAACTGCACAAGAGAAACAGCCAATAACATGAATGACCAAAAATCGATGAGAAGGACATAAAATTATCTACCAGAGATAAGGCAAGTCAAGAAAAAAGATTACAATTATACCTACGTTACTGAATGAGTAGAGTCCATCAACACTGTGCTACTATAAATAGTTTGAAGGAAGTAGGCCTGTTTTCTTCTCACTCCTACGAAATCTTAGCTGATGAATCAAGTCTTCTCATCAGGAATGAGTGGATGAATATCGTTTGAAGTGGAGCGAAAATGTCAGTGACACTCAAGAGTGTCACCTACATCCTAAGTAACTACGTCACGTTGGCTATTACATCAGGCTGCTTATCGCCGCACCAATAGAACCATCATTAATTGACGTTCGTTAGATTCAATGGACTCATTGGATTTCATTCACATTTCATTCCACTTCACATTGGATACAAGGTTCACCATATAATGCGCACGAGACTCTCAACTTTGTGCTGCCTCCAGTGTGAACGTGCTAAAATAATCACCATCTGTGTGAGTGTTTAGAGCTTTTTCGAGGTTGGTACGTCAGTGCTATACGTAAACTTCGGCGGTAAGCTCGCTTCATTAGTAGCACACGCCCCACTGGCCCTATCACCACAAAATCTCTTCATCCCTGCTATAAAGTAGGGTTCAGTGTGGGCGTGTGCCATTAATGAAGCGGGCGATATCGTCGAAACGTACGTATGGCTCTGACGCACCAATCTCGGAAAGGCTTCAAGCATTCTCACATTATACTGAATTCTTATAGCGAGGTTCAAAACCAGACGATGAGATGTTTTTTCTAAACTTGTAGTATCGTAAGTGCAAGACTTACTGAAGAATTGCTGGTTAAACACGCACCTCATCCGTTGAAGACGATTTCGAAGTGTCCCTAACTTACCTGCCATTCATCTAATGGTTAAACTCCTTCTAAATCGACATGTATGATATTGTCTAGAAACGCACAAGCATGACCACAAGTATGCGCGATGCTCTTCTTCATCTTGTGATACGATAGCTCGCTTTTTCCTAGTAGAGATAGGAAAGCCGAGTCTAGCTTAATTTCTGGACAAATAGATGATCACTTTTGGCCCATAATTATCGGCGCGCTCTTCCCCCTACTAGTACCGCGTCAGAATCTTTAATTTTGATAGTGCAGAATTTCCAAATAATTATAATAATCAAGTCTTCTCATGAGCATTGTCATTGGAGCAATAAAACCAAATTTATTGACCATAACTGTCTAAAGCTGTATGGTTCTGGTATCTTTCAGTTGCACATTTTCTTACGAGCGCCTATACTTGCTTTAAATGGTGTTGTCGCGGGAATAAATTCGCTTGATACTCGTTCAGGAATGTCGCATAGGGGAAATGCCAGCGAAGCGTTGGGCAGAATTAATGGAGCTTGTGGTGATGATACGATTAAAAAAAGGACGATTAGGAAAAGGTTGGCGAAGTTTGAAGCTGAAGAGAACAGTGTGGAGGATATGTCGAGCTTAGTCATCTGATCATCTATGAACAGGATGCTCCATTACTCTTACGCGACGCTTCACTGATACACTCCCTTATACTCCCCTGCCATTGGTGCAAATGGCAAGTGAATTTCTTTCCAAACGGCTCCATCTTGAAGCAATTATAGGCAGATTACATACAAAAATCTTTGCAAGAAAATGAGCAAGTTAAACATTACCGAAATCATGCAATTTTAATTACATCTGGTTAATTAAATTTGGTGTTTATTGATCTAGTGCTAGAACTTGTAAAGAGATCTAATATTACGAAATGTATCGAAAAAAATTTGTAATGTCTAGATTTAATTTGAATAAAAAAAAGCGTCCCATAGTTCTATTAAATTTTGCACTTTTCACTGGCATTCAACAAGCTTGCAAGAAGGAAAACCTACATTTGTCGCTACTCTGTACTCCTTTTCTTTCCTACAACAGATAATATAAATCGCATGAACAACACCAGGAAAATAGCCGAAAATCGTGAGAACACAATTGACGATCAGTGATTCTGTGAGTCCCGAGTGGCATAGAAGAGCCAGGGGCTAGAAAAAAAGGTGAAAAAAATCAAGGAAAACAAAATAACTTCAATATCTAATGTTTCAAAAAACTTGTTTCAAAAATTGTAAAGGATTTTCCTATAACCACTCCATATTTTGCCGCTCTCATGAGAGTGTTACGATGCCTCTAACTATATATCCAATGA